CCGGCGCTCAGGGGATGCAGGGCCGGCACACACAGCGCTGGGGGGTACCTGGCACTCAGGGGGCGCAGGGCCGGCACACACAGCGCTGGGGGGTACCTGGCACTCAGGGGGCGCAGGGCCGGCACACACAGCACTGGGGGGTACCTGGCACTCGGGGGGCGCAGGGCTGGCACACACAGCACTGGGGGGTACCTGGCACTCAGGGGGTGCAGGGCTGGCACACACAGCACTGGGGGGTACCTGGCACTCAGGGGGTGCAGGGCTGGCACACACAGCACTGGGGGGTACCTGGCACTCAGGGGGTGCAGGGCTGGCACACACAGCACTGGGGGGTACCTGGCACTCAGGGGGTGCAGGGCTGGCACACACAGCACTGGGGGGTACCTGGCACTCAGGGGGTGCAGGGCTGGCACACACAGCACTGGGGGGTACCTGGCACTCAGGGGGTGCAGGGCTGGCACACACAGCACTGGGGGGTACCTGGCACTCAGGGGGTGCAGGGCTGGCACACACAGCACTGGGGGGTACCTGGCACTCAGGGGGTGCAGGGCTGGCACACACAGCACTGGGGGGTACCTGGCACTCAGGGGGTGCAGGGCTGGCACACACAGCACTGGGGGGTACCTGGCACTCAGGGGGTGCAGGGCTGGCACACACAGCACTGGGGGGTACCTGGCACTCAGGGGGTGCAGGGCTGGCACACACAGCACTGGGGGGTACCTGGCACTCAGGGGGTGCAGGGCTGGCACACACAGCACTGGGGGGTACCTGGCACTCAGGGGGTGCAGGGCTGGCACACACAGCACTGGGGGGTACCTGGCACTCAGGGGGTGCAGGGCTGGCACACACAGCACTGGGGGGTACCTGGCACTCAGGGGGTGCAGGGCTGGCACACACAGCACTGGGGGGTACCTGGCACTCAGGGGGTGCAGGGCTGGCACACACAGCACTGGGGGGTACCTGGCACTCAGGGGGTGCAGGGCTGGCACACACAGCACTGGGGGGTACCTGGCACTCAGGGGGTGCAGGGCTGGCACACACAGCACTGGGGGGTACCTGGCACTCAGGGGGTGCAGGGCTGGCACACACAGCACTGGGGGGTACCTGGCACTCAGGGGGTGCAGGGCTGGCACACACAGCACTGGGGGGTACCTGGCACTCAGGGGGTGCAGGGCTGGCACACACAGCACTGGGGGGTACCTGGCACTCAGGGGGTGCAGGGCTGGCACACACAGCACTGGGGGGTACCTGGCACTCAGGGGGTGCAGGGCTGGCACACACAGCACTGGGGGGTACCTGGCACTCAGGGGGTGCAGGGCTGGCACACACAGCACTGGGGGGTACCTGGCACTCAGGGGGTGCAGGGCTGGCACACACAGCACTGGGGGGTACCTGGCACTCAGGGGGTGCAGGGCTGGCACACACAGCACTGGGGGGTACCTGGCACTCAGGGGGTGCAGGGCTGGCACACACAGCACTGGGGGGTACCTGGCACTCAGGGGGTGCAGGGCTGGCACACACAGCACTGGGGGGTACCTGGCACTCAGGGGGTGCAGGGCTGGCACACACAGCACTGGGGGGTACCTGGCACTCAGGGGGTGCAGGGCTGGCACACACAGCACTGGGGGGTACCTGGCACTCAGGGGGTGCAGGGCTGGCACACACAGCACTGGGGGGTACCTGGCACTCAGGGGGTGCAGGGCTGGCACACACAGCACTGGGGGGTACCTGGCACTCAGGGGGTGCAGGGCTGGCACACACAGCACTGGGGGGTACCTGGCACTCAGGGGGTGCAGGGCTGGCACACACAGCACTGGGGGGTACCTGGCACTCAGGGGGTGCAGGGCTGGCACACACAGCACTGGGGGGTACCTGGCACTCAGGGGGTGCAGGGCTGGCACACACAGCACTGGGGGGTACCTGGCACTCAGGGGGTGCAGGGCTGGCACACACAGCACTGGGGGGTACCTGGCACTCAGGGGGTGCAGGGCTGGCACACACAGCACTGGGGGGTACCTGGCACTCAGGGGGTGCAGGGCTGGCACACACAGCACTGGGGGGTACCTGGCACTCAGGGGGTGCAGGGCTGGCACACACAGCACTGGGGGGTACCTGGCACTCAGGGGGTGGACCCTGAGGACAAGGAGGGGGATGGGTTGCCGGGCGTGCCCCCCGGGGAGGGGGCAAAACGAGGGGAAGAAAAGGAGGAGGACGATGAAGAGCTG